AGATATTTTGCTGAGAGAAAAAAAACAAAACAACAACAGCAACAAAACAGTGAGATAATTGGACTAGAAATTAAAGGGCTAACTGCCTGTGATTCAACCCAGGCATGACTGAAACAATCCTGAAAAGTATCGGCAGGAGTTATTATGAAGTGCATGATTATAAAGCAGGCATGGATTAAACAGCATTCCTCATACCTTAAACATCTGACACACTATGATCAGGAGCATCTTTTGTTTAACAGTGAGTACCCCAACAGTCATTGTGGGGCCCAATATTATTTAGCAGCTACATTAACAGCTTGGGCAATGGAACAGAGTGCACCCTCCACCCTACAAGTTTGCAAAGATTACAAAACAAGCAGTGAATCATCATAGAGTTGTTCAGAAGAAAAATTGTCTGACGTAAACCTCATGAAGTTCAGCTAAGGGTAAAGCCATCCTGCCACAGGGGAAGAATTATCCTGTACAGGCTGTAGGCTAACTGGTTAACAGTTAACACAGGCAGCTCTGCAGAGAAGTACATTGGGTCCCAATGGGCAGAGCCAGGCTGTCCTAGGCTGTGTTGGGAAAAGCACTGACAGTGCATCAGCAAAGGGCCATAAAGTTTGTGAAGGGATAGAAACATGTAGCAAATGAAGAGAGACAAAGAAGGAAACACAAAGTTTTTTGTCTTTTTTTTTTTTTTTGTCTTTTTTTTTTTTTTTTTTTTTTTTTTTAATGAAAAACCTGAATAGTGTGTTTTTTTTTAGCTAAATATGATCACTTCTCATTCCTCACACGTGAGCCTCGTAGATTTCTTTCCACAGATGAGTTAATTATTGAAAATTAAAAGGAAAAGGAGCACTTGGTAGAAATGTGTCTGAAATTAGTAATTATTCATTTCTTTCCTTCCTTCTTTCCTTCTCTCTTCTTTCTTTATTTAGAATCATAGAATCATAAAGGTTGGAAAAGACCTCTAAGATCATCTAGTCCAATCATCTAGCTACCACCAATATTGTGCAGTACACCATATCACTTAGTGCCACATCTACATGTTTCTTGAACATCTCCAGGGACAGTGGCCCCACCACCTCCCTGGCCAGGCAGCCTGTGCCAGTGCTCAACCAGTCTTTTGGAGTAGTTTTTCCTAATGTCCAACCTGAACCTTTCCTAGCACAACCTGAAGCCATTACCTCTCATCCTATAGCTAGTTACCTGGTAGAAGAGAGTGAAACCTGTCTCTCCACAACCTTCTTACAATTTGTCTTCCTTTCTTTCTTTCATTCTATTTTTTTAAATCTCCTTCCCTCCTTCCTTCCTCCCTTCCTCCCTCCCTCCTTCCTTCCCTCCTTCCCCCTTCCTCCCTTCCTTCCTATATTATAGCACCTGATTTAGACCAGCTCAGCTGAAGTTAAATATTAGGTACATTATATAGAAGTGTGTCATAAAACACAATTTCAAGTACCCTAGTCCATACTTACATCTAAACTTTAAATAGGATATGAAAATTAAGTGAAGTATTGGACACATTAGTTTGCTGTTAAAGCGCTCCATAGCAAGATTTTGACCCATACTTTTGTGCACATTTTGAGCCAATCCCATGCACTAAATTATGAAGAACATGTTCCAGAAAATGTTCCAACGGCATAGACAAGACTGCACAGATGTAGCTTTCTATCTTCCTCCAATCCTACCTCGGCTGGCTTTTCACTCTTGGTTAATTCCTGTACACTTTACCACAGTGCATACAATAGAAAAACTTCACTGTCAGGTAAAGACAGCATCCTCAAAGCATCATCTTATTTCACATACTCTATAACAGCAGGAAAGTAAACCCCCCCTCCCTCATGAAAATTAAATCACAGCAGACCAGGTGGTAAAAGAATCTGAAAATGCTGTGTAGGATGGATACAGACTGCATATGCCACTGTACATAAGCATAAACAAAGTTTCTATATCTGTTTTTGTTGAGCATATCAGTTGGTATGAAATATCATATTGATCTTTCATACACGATGAAAAAGAAGAAAAGCCAACACTGAAAATGCAGGGCTGAAATATGTCTTGATTTCAGGAAAAGATCGTGGAGAAGGGTGACAGTTTCAGTTCAACCTCTGAGCAGTACTGTGAGGTTTCAGTCTCACCTAAAAGCTCTAACATGGATTAGCAGCCATCCTTCCATTCTTCCTTTTGGAAGCAGCACTGATTGCAAAGCACTGTAACACCTTATAGATGTTTTATTGGTCACCGCATTAAAATACTCTATTAGCTCAATAGGTCTACAAAACATAACAGTACAATACTTAGGCAGATTTACCCCCCTGAAAAGAAATCAAGGGAGTAATGCTCATGGTACATGATTATGGAATTAAGGGAGAAGTTAATTCTGTCTAAGGAGAGTCATGGAGTTAAAGGGCATTAATTTGTGCTAAATGAGGAAGTAAAGCATCTGCTTGCTTCTGTGAAGGCATGTTTTTATCCACAACTACACTGATAGCTTATGAATATATACAGTTTGCTTTATCATTAAAAAAAATTATAAATACAACGAAATTTAGCCAAATTCTTTATTTAGTATTTTTTTCAAGACAGAAATATAAAAGCACATCAGATGTTTCCTCTTAAACTTCGGTTTGCAGAATTAAGGCACTTTGAAGGCATGTTTTTTCTTAGTCCATGAGTAATTTTTTTCCAGCTTTCATTAACAAAGTAAACAATTTTTATGAGTACAAAATTAGTTATGGAAATGATATAATTTACAGACAAGTCCACATTAATACCAGACATTAGCAAAGCATGATTTGATATAAAAGCTTTTAGACCTAATCTCGTCTTTGTGACACCATTTTCCATGCAGAGTTAATTGTTTGCATGCAGTTTATTTATCCACTTTAACACCAAAAGACATATTTAGGGAAAACTGGGAAAACACTTTAGAATCTCAGTATGTGTGTTGGTACATCATACCTTCAGCAAGAATTATTTTTCACATAAATAAAGTTCAATCTGGTCTCAAATACATTTTAGGAAGATCATAACATTTTTTTCCCCCCCTTACTAAGAGCTTCCATTAGCCACATTTACCATATGACATTTGGATATGCAATGCAGAACAAAAAGAGATACACTGAATATAAGGCTTATTTCTTTGTTTAGAAAAGGTAATGTTATCCATTTCACTATGACATTAAAAACATGACAAAATCTGACTTATAAAGGACATACAATTCTACTGAACCAAAAGTGCTACGTAACACTCATATTTCCTTACAATACTCATTCTAAAAGTCACCTGAGGTGATTTTTCTCTAGAAATGATCTGATTTCATTTATATTTCTTATTTAGTGGAAATAAAAATAATTAAAAAATATACATTCTGAATTGTTCCCTGCTGTTTTTGAATCCAATCCTGCAAACGTTTACTAACCGATTTAAGAGGGAATCCTGGAGGAAGTTTTTCTTGCATCTTCAGCAGTTCCAGGATTCCTCCTTGCATAAAGCCTACTGTTAAGAGCATTTATAGCACCTCCAATGGAATACCCCTAGTGAGCATTATGCTGTTAGTAAGCATCTGCATTTTCATATCTTTTTGTGGATTCATGGTTCAGTTTACATTGTTACACAAAACACATTTTTTTCTAATGTTCTTTTTTCTTTTCTTTTTTTTAAAAAAACAAACAAACAAACAAACTTCTTTCTCTCAAAGACCACACTGTTTATTTGTAATTCTGTGGATTCTATCTTGAAAAGCTTTTAAGAATAAGCTAGTCTTGTCCTCCTTCTTGCTGATCCCCCTAGAGAAAAAAAGAAAAAGAAAATATAATGTAATTATATGTAATATGTTACTGCATCTGTATACGTTACTGTGTTTACTGATGAAAAGAGGAAAAAATGAAGCTTGACACTGAATCTTTCTCTGCTATGCTGCCAGCTAGGGAATTATAGTTGTCTCAGTTTCTCAATCAACCCAGATAATGTGGAATCCCTGTGTTACAAATCCCACAGTGGGGAATCCCACAGTGTCACTGTCTTAGTTACAGCTGGGACAGTTATTTTCTTCATAGTGTCTGGTATAATACTTTGGCTTTAGGAGAAAAACTGTTGATAACACACCTAGATTTTAGTTGTTGCTGAGACAAGGAAGATTCAGATTTCAGTTTCTCTTAGTGACCTGACACCAAGAAGTCTGGGAAACACAAGGAACTGGGAGGGGACAGAACTGGGACAGCTGACCTGGAACTGGCCAAAGGGACATTTCATACTATATGATGTAATGCAAAAAAAAAAAACAAACACGTATAAAACTGTGAGGAACTCGCCAGAGGGTGCACAGCCACTGCTTAGAGACTGGTTGGGCATCAGTTGGCGGGTGGCAAGAAATTGTGTTGAGCACCACTTCTTTTCTAAATATATATAGGTAATTATCATTACTTCTATTATTTCTCTTCCTTTTATGTTTTAGTAAATAGTTTTTATCTCAACTGTACTTTTTTTGTTGTTTTGTTTTTTTCCCTGATTATCTTTTATCTTATTATTTTTTATCTTTTTTATTTTTTATTCTTTTTATCTTATTGTTTTTTTCCCTGATTATCTCCCCCACCTCACAGGGAGGTAGGAGTGAATTAACAGCTGTATGCTGAGCTGCCTTCTGGGTTAAAACACAACTGTCCTTTTCACAGTGCTAGACTCTGAACTTTGACAACTTTATTCTATTACAAAACAATACCTGACCAAAGCACATAATAAAAGTTCTTTCAGATAGAAAAACATATATGTATATAAAGCATGCATAAGTCATTTACCAAATTTTGCTAATTTTTCTTTTTTTTTTTTCTTTTTTTTTTTTAAGCAGAAATGCAACTCTTTCCTTTAGAACTCAGTTTTTTTAAGTTCCATCCTGTTTCACCTTAAACGTAGCAGGGGAAAATACTTGAAATATGCTAAAAGTTTTTAACATATGTTTTGCTTTTACCTTGTGTCCTCTTGTTTGCTTGTACTTTCCGTACAGGTGCTTCTAGAAAATAGAAATGTTTCAGTCAGAAGTTATTTGTAAGAGGTATAATTCATTATAAATGTTGGAAACCCATTGTAGACTTGTAACATCTGCTCTAAATGTTTTTAACGAATTAAGGATTTTGTTAGATTGACTCAATCACCTGAAAGATGAACGCTAATAATAAATAGAGTTTACACATTTCCACCATTTGTATTCATGCACAGAATTCTATCAATATTTCAAATAGATTTTTAAATTTTAGTGCTATGAACTGATCCATTATTCACACTGATCTTGTGTGGACATTTGCATGACATGGACATTGGCCAGGACATTTTACTCAGGCAAAAGCTATCTGATGCCGACAGCGAGGTGCGAATTCATATTAGTGTACTGCCCAGAACTTGATCTCAACTTTTGGCAGAGGAAGTTCAGGTCTGCTTGCAGAGCACTGCAAGACATTTCTTTAGGAATTATGTATAAATGATACGGTTGAAATGCAGCTGTTGCAAGATGTTGTTCACATGTCCAGTTGCACTTAGATGTGTGATGTGTAGCTTCACCGAGAGCCCACAGCATCACTTCATATTTACGGGTCAGCTGATGTTCTCAGAGACTTCTACTTTAAAGGGTATGGTGGAACAAAGCCCAACGAGGTACCATTCTCACTAACAGATACATCTATTTTCCAAAAGACTGATTCAATTCTATGGAGAGTTTTCCTTTTTTCTCATGAAATATTTTTTAAAACCAGGTGCCTTCTCAACAGACGGAAAAACATTTCAGAAACTTAAGACAGCATGCTTCTATCACTGTCACAGGAATATGACTGTAGCATTTTTCCTTCTTTACATGAAGTACTTGTTTCTTCGTTTAACCAGCAGTTCTCTTTTCATCTTGAGGTACAAGGTTTGTAAATGTGTTGCCCTGAGATACAGGTTTTGCCTCTTTTAGCTGAGGCTAACTGGTGTGCATTTGTACCAAGTTCTTCAACATCCTGAAAATGAGAACGTGAAAATGAACGTGGCCTGTGTGAAGTAGTACATTTTCAGGTAAGGTCCCATGGTCAAAAGTCATACTTTTCAGGCAATAGTTGATTTCCCTGCATGCCTTGTACTTCTCAACACTGAACATAACAAATAACTGGTGTACCTTCAGCATTTAGTGTAAACTTCAAATTGTAAGAAGTATAAAACCGTATTATGTCTATGAGTCTGTAGTTCAAATACATTCTTACTCTGCATCATGAGAATTAGATTTAGAAAAGTACCTTCATACTAATCCAAAAGAAACACAAAGCAAAGTACTTTTTAATTAAAAACAAAGAAAAAGAAAAAAAAAAAAGAAAAGATTGTGAGACTTGAAGAATAAATTATTGGCATATACCCAGGCTGAAGCCATTAGTTGGCTCCTCAGGTTGGACTCCAATTCCATTCAGCTTTTTAAAAATGATGAACTTCCCTTACTTAGCAATAGGATGAAATTGATATTTACACTCATGCCCAGAGGTTGCAGTCCTTCCACCCCACTCTTTTACTAAGTTGAGAACCCAACAGATCATATTAACATTGACATGAAATATCTCATGTTAAAAACAACTCACGTGGTCTTCTTCTGGATGTGCTGCTTAGAGAAAGGTGCATGTTCCTTCAAATGTTTTACCTATGCTTTGTGGTTTAGATATTTCCTCTTGTCTACTATGCCTGCCAAATCTTTTGGTTACTTTCAGACACAAGATAAGCCTCAAAATTTTTCTCTGTAATGTTAAAGAATTCTTTTTCCAAAACAAACATAAAAACACTTTCAGCTAAAATATTGACTTCAGACCTAAGTAATTTTTATGAATAAATAAATACTATAATTCTGCACCTAGAATGATTACTTCAGACATAGGAGGCCTTAGTGATATTGGATTTTTAGACAAACTAACCTTCCAAATGGACTTTCTTGATTTCTCTCTCGATAATCTGTGGTTCTCCCTCAATTACTTTAGTAACCTTGGTGTACTCAGTTCCAGCTATGATAAGCATTAAAAACAAGTTAAAACTGGGATAGCACAGAAAACTTCAGTGGAAAGAATGCCATTTTGGGAGTAGGTGTATGCAGGCCACAGTAATCATGCTGTAAAGTCCTGCTGATATTCTTGGCCCTGATACAGGTGATTCCCTCTCTAGAGCTGGAAATCATTCATCCACAATCTTGGCTTTTAGGATGTTCCAGCACAGACTGCCAATTATAATTAGCAGTACTGTACATCATACAAGTTGAATTAAAGCCCATCTTTTAATTTAGAGGGAATGCATCTATTTTTGTCTGGATTCAGATTTAAGTACTTTAGAAATTTTCAGTAAAACAATAAATTTGATGTAGACAAGAAAGTCATAAAATATCACTGCTATTATCACCAACAGCCAGAAAGTATTGTGTGTATCCACTTTTTTTGGCTGAATGTATGGTAAGATATTGTCATGGTAGCTAAGGGCAGCTGACTGGACGGATAAATCATGGAAAAGATAGAAAAAAATCAGATTAAACAACAGCTTGAAATCTGCCTGTATGGTTCATTCTGCCAAGCAGGATGCTTATGCAATCTAACATATAATAGCAAGGAAAAATAGCAAGAATTCAAGAGACAGTATTGTCTTTACTAAATTTACTCCACGTAAAATATTTCTCACTTTTCACATTTATGGGTCCCTGTAAGATATACAGATTGTGTGTATTTAGTTGTATACCTCTGTAGTGGAACATTTTGCACGTTTCTGGGATAAATTTATACACGCTCTTCATAGACTGTTTGGGACCAATAGAACATAGTTTGATATACTTTTTCTCATTTTCAATTTTCACTTAAATAGTCACCACTGAAATAGGCATCTGCAGAGAATAACTCATAGTTGGGATGCTTAGGGTAGGGTACAATGGAAATATCCTCAGGAATTTCATCTCTCTCTCCAATGACTGTTGACTAATCCTGGCTAGAGCAGTGAAACTAAGATTTGGCTCTTTAAAAGACCAAAGATTAATATAGTAATCAGTATTCATGATCATATCTTGGTTTGTCTATAGGACTAGTTGCATTATCAGCTAGCATGGTTTTGTTTGATGGAAAATTACTGTCTTTCAGCCATCACTTAATTTTTACCTGATGTTTAATTCAAGTACACAGAATGGTGCTCGCAAAGAGCTCCTAGATTTACTTCTGTGAACACATAGTTGAACTGTCAGCTAATTCAGTGGTATTCAAGTTACTAAATTATTATAAAGTGAACATAAAATTAATTGGATTCAGCTAATTTGTGCTAGGAGAAATATTCGTGAACATGGTTGAACTTCTCACCTTCACTAAAAACACAATACTTGAATTCTCTGTTTTATTCTCCATTGCTATTATAGATTGTTATTTTAGTCTATATATTAAGCAGAGAACATTCCCAATTGAATAGATAAGAATTAATTTCATAAGCACAAGTTCTTTCACCAGTTTTCTACAGCTACTGGTTATGTACTGCCAAGACTGTTAGAATCAGAAGAGCAAGAAGGAAAGGAAACCATTCCTTGGAATGCTATATTTGAAAAGAATTAAAGTTAATGCCTCCATATCCATCACCTGTAAGCACTGAAAGAGGGATGATCAACATGCCTTTGATTATTTACATGAGGGCAATGAACATTCATTTCTGGATAACTGATGAGGAAGATACATTTGGCCTATTACAATACTTTGGATTTCATAACCATTTTCCACATATTTAAATCTGCTGATCAAAAGAGTTCACAGCTAGTGGAATAAATCTTCATTGCTCTCCTCGGTTTTTATTAGACATCTTTTTAAAGACTGAGAAAACAAAGAAAAAATATTTTTGTGATTGATAACATATCAGAATAGTTTAATCAAAATTTGGCACTTTGTCAGATATCTGGCACTACATCACACAGCACTGCACTTTTTCTTTTTTTTCTTGAATTAAAATTTCACTTCCGTTAGGTCAGTCTTTAAAAAATGTTGAGCTGAACGTATCTGAGAGAGGTTTCAGTTGTCATAACCTGTTGCAAAAAGGTTAGTTGTAATACACCGAATTACCTCCCTGCAGAAGTCTTTTGATTTCTTCATCTTCAAGTAAATGACCATCACCTTCAATAAATTTGGTCACCTTGGTAACCTCTGACAGGATACAGGTTATGGCAAAAAATTGATTGACAGAAAATACATGACAATCATACAACAGCACATAATCAAATGTATCATGTTACAGAATTCTGTTGAATTACAAATGTCATCTGTGATGATATTAAGCTCCATGCAAAACACTGGAAACACCATTTTTCATGACAAGGGTAGCTTACTATATATTACAGGAGATCAGATTTGGACATTTCTTAGTTTCTGAGGCTTAATCTCTGATTTTGTTCTATCAGCACATTTGAAGAAAACAAAATACACATTCAGTTATTACTTAACTAATATCGTGCTGGTTTTCTGTGTTCTATTTATTTACTTCTTTTAAAGAAGATAAGGATACTAACCTTCCTCAAGCAATCTCTTCAAATTTTCTTCATTGTCTGAACCACCTGCAGTAATTCTGGTATATTTTATTTCTGGACCTGAAACAAAGACGTATAAAACAGGGACTTCAATTGTAATGTGTAATAGAATTATCGTTGAAGATTTTTAATAAATATTAAAGCTTGTGTTTGTTTTTTTTTTATTTGTTTTTCTTTGTTTGTTTTTCTTATTTAAACCCCACTCTATTTCTATCTTTAATGTGTTTTAATCTGCTTCTATGGTGGTTTCATCTTTCACTGTGTTCCAAACTGAAATGAAAGAGAGTTACAAGTACAGTTTACAGCTATTCAGACAAGTAGTTCAACAAATTTAGCATAGTAAACATCTGCTCACATTCTGGAAGAAAGGCACAGTTTTAATCACCCTGCTGTATAAGGTCGGTATTTCCTCAGTGAAAAATGAAATTACTGTTGTAATGGAACAAGAAAATATGATTTTCTTTTCCAGAAATATTCTCTCTTGAGAAATAGACATATTAAAAAATATCTTTTTTTTTTATTATTTTTATTTTTGTTTAATTCCATTATATGTAAGTAGTTGCATTAGAATAACTTCTCCTATTTCCTCTTTCTCTCCTGCTTGAATGACATTTTAAATTGTCATACATAAACTCAATGTGAATACCTTCTGCTAAATCAATACGTTCCTTTTACACTGTCTTTCCCTTGCAGCTTTTCATGCAGACAGTATTTTTGCTATGGTGTTAAAACTGAATCTATCCAAGGGGATCAAATATGTTAGCAAATAATTTATACTACAGTTATACTATACTACATACTAATTTATAACATACACTATGCCTCACTCCACTCATTTCAATTTCTGTATAGATTCTAGAATTCCTAAACGTAAAATCTGCACTGTAGGTCAAATGTAACTGAAATTTGTAAAGGAAAGATTGAAATTTACAGTTGAAAAAGATCAAGGAAAAGATGCTCATCAGTTCTATTCTACATTAGGACTAAACAACTGTCTGCCTTGTAGGTGTTAGAAAAATATAGACTGCCCTCACACAGAAACAAAGGATTATTATAGTCATTATTTCTGAAATAAGTGTCAAGAAATCCTGAGATGAAATGCAAAAGCAAGCAAGGTCTAGTATTGACAAAATGAAGACTAGCTGGAGATATAAAAATAACTCGAAAATTCATATATATGAATACCCCAAAAATTAATCCTAAAATAAGATAGACTAAAAATAATTCAGAATAACAGTCTCATTCTGAAACGGTAGTTAGAATCCAAGAAAAATGAGAAAAGATGAGTTTCTGTGTTTTTGCATGCAAGATGTTGTAACTCTTTCTGCACATGTATATGTAGCAGACACAGAAAAAAATTGAGCATACACAGTGACAAATAGCAGGAATAACATTTCCTCTCCAGGAAATGCAATTTAGGCATTAGTACAGGACTTAAGCAGTGTTATTTCAGTATGTAATAGAGAACTTCACTGAATAGCTCAGCATGAGTTACCTTGAATAATTCTTTCTTCTGTTACTTTTTTCTCTGTCACTTCCACAGGTCGCCCATCAATGATTTTGGTGTACGTTTTAATAATTGGTTCTACGAGGATTTTTAAAGTGAAGATATTAATAAATTGATGAGCAATGTCTGAAGTGCTGCTTTTGAGAAACTGAAACTTAATGAAGCACACTAGGAATTACAATATAATTTTTTTTTTTTTTTTTTTTTTTTTTTTAAGTCAGATTGCTCACAGTAGACCAGAAACTAAGTTTCCCCCAGATGTAGAATGGCCACATGCTATTTTCTTTGAAACACTCCTAGATATAAAATCCTCAAAGTCCCTAGCGAAGCAGGAAAAAAAACAGTCGATTTCTTTGTCTGACAAAGCTGTCCTTCTATACAAGAATTACATCCTAAACAGTTCCTAACTTCAGCAGGTATAATGTCAGCATGCAGAGAGAGCATTTCTAACACTATCTTGGCTGTAAGAGTTACAGCTAGACAGATAAAAAGACAAAATACTTCTGAAATGCATGAGAAGTGAGAATGAAATGATACAATCCAATCCAATAATTCTCCTTAAAAACTGGTCAGTTGTCCAACATGAATAATTTTCATCCAAACAAAAACTGATGGGGAACAGATAATGTTTCAAATTTCATCTAATACAAATTGAGTTGCTGAAAGCATACCAACCTCCATGAATCACTTTAGTTATTGTCTCTCCCTCCCTGACTATTTTGAACTCAGGTTCTCCTTCAATTATTTTAGTGAGCTGTGTAATAGATGGGTCTGTGACATAAGGAAAAAACAGCATGTTATGAATAGCCATAAAAATATGCACGGTATTCCCCAGGGCTGAGATTAAGTTATCATTACCATTCCTACCCAAAATAAGCCAGATGACCATAAAAGAGTCTTTTTAAAATCTGAGTAGGCATCTGCAGCTGTGGCTGCACAATCCTGCACTTCCTTCCATACTACCTCAAATTTAGACCTTACTGCACATTTACTGTTTAGAAATATTTCTTACTTCTGTGCATTGGGCATTTTTAATATCTGACAAGACTTGGGCAAAAAGACTGTCAGCAGAAGAAGGAAAGCATACATATTGGTAAAATACCTACTCTGACACATTGCTAAAATCTTACAACTATTGCTTTGATAATCATCAGCATGTAAAGTATTGAAAACTTGGAAATGACTGAAGAGAAAAATGTTCATCGTGTTATTTCCTACTAACTCTACAGATACCCAAAAGGAAACTGGGTCTTTAAATTAATTCAGATTGTTTATTTATTATTTCTTTATTTACGAATGGCTGATTCCTTTTTTGTTGTTTTTATGTTTTCTAAAGCTAGCCAGACCTCAGCTGTGGTCATACAGTGTAAAGAAAAATTAAGGTAAAATTCAGAGCTCAACCAGAGGGGCTGCAAAGGTATTTGTCAGCAAGACCAGCTACCATCCTCTGAGATTCATGGGAGATGTCATCTTGATATCAATGGCCAAAGCAAATAATTTGGTAAACTCTTATCTTGTGAAATCCCTGGAGACCACATTGATAAAATGTGCCTCTGCATGACAGGATGCTGGGATTAATTTGTTAGGACTGGGTTTCAACAGATTTAACTCCTGAGATCTCTTTTAAACTTCCTTATGTAGAGACAATGACTCACAACACCACCAGAAATCACTAAGATTGGAAGTGGCAAACAGCAAGCTGTAAAATGACTGATTTTTTTTGTTGTTGTTTTAATGAAATCTCCCTGCCATGATTTTCTGCTGGAACATACAGACATTATGTTGCAAAATATAACGTGCAACTTTTTACACAGACAATTGTAGGCATATGTGGTTCTGATGGGAGCTTCTACTCATTGCTGTTATTGCAAGCAAGCTAAAAAGGGCTGAACCAACTCTCCTGGGACTACATCTGAGTCATCATTAGGCAGATTCTGTTGGCCAGAGATCATTCTTTGGATAGTATCCCAAAACAGGAATACTGTACTGGCAGCAGAAAGGAGTGACAGTTCAATGCTAATTAACATGTGAAAATATTTTATGCCTCTTTGGCAAATAGCACTTAGTTGTACATTTGCAGAGAAGTGCTCGGACATTTCATTTTTTTCCTTATTTTTTTCCTCATCTTTCAAACTATACTAAATTACCAAAACTATCTGCTCCAGTTTTGGATTTAATATAGAAGAGCAGGTACCTCCAGAAGGTAATTCACCTTCATCTTATGAAGATCTCTAAAATATTTTGGTCAAATTACAATGTATGGAATCAATTTCATGTTTCTTTTGCTCTGTAGCTCTGATTTCATAACAGAGACTAGGAAACAAGCGTTAGCATATACATGTATAAATATATAAGATAGTATCTAATGCTAGGTGGGACAAAACGCAGAACAAAAAAAACTCATTACTTCTGGTGGATGGGAGCCTCCACAGAAACAACGGCTAATCAGTCTGCATGAGCATTCTGCAAGATACTCTGACTGCCTTTGTTCTCAGTTGAGCTCCACCAGATTCCTTTTGAGCGTTTACATTTCAGAAGGAAACTGGAGCAAATAAGCATGGTCACCGGTTTAGTGAAACTAAGGGATGTTTTATTTACACTATGAATTACAAGTGTTTCTAATAGTTATGGCCCCACTTTTTGTTCTCTACAGTCACACCACTTATCTATTCTTTAAAACATGCTTTTGATTTGAGACAAACAGTTTGGCTGTCTTTTCCAGGCATTTGACAGATATTGGTATTTAGAACTGATTGAAATCTATAAAGAAATTAACTATTGCTTTTAATGTTTGGTTAGTTGGTTGCACTTGAGTGTGTAACAAAGCTTTTAAAATAACTACTTCAATACAAAAACATGAAAAAATGTTTCAATTGCAGAATCCAATTTTCTTTATACTTTAAGTATAGTAATATTTATATAAAGTAGAGTAACATTAAGGCGTTTAAAAGGCACGCTTTTAAAAAAATTTTGTATTAAACAATGTGTTTTTAAAATGCCCATGGGAAAATAAAGTCCATCTGGGGAGAATAACTGTGGGAAATCTTTTCATACAAAACATTTCAGCCAGTTCTAATCACAATATTTGTATCTTTGCTTTTCCAGCAAAGTACTGAACAACCTGGAGCTGTTAAGTACAAAATACATTCAGTTAAATAAATACAATATATATTCTGTATATATACATATTTGAACATATACAGATATATATATTGGAAGGCCCTGTTTACCTTCCTTTCTGACGATAGGCTGCACGTTGCTTTCAATTATGTTAATTTCTGAAAGTATAGAAAATGGAATATAACACACATTCCATTCTTAATGATAATTCTTGATGGTCATAATTCACATCTGGTCATAAAGATGTGAATAACGATACACATATTAACAGTAGGTAAACTAACTTGAAATGCCTCAGAGTATGGATCTCAGTTCTATTTACTAAATGGTGGTATATACTGTAGACAGTCTTCTAATGTGCTATTTTCTTTTGTTTGTGTCTCATAAAACCCACTGGTCTTGAAATAACATAAGATAAATAATAATACTGTCTCATACAATCCTCTTTATAAGAATTTATACTGTTCCCCAGCATACCTTAACTTTGAATTTTGCCCATTTTTTTTCTTAAAGAGCTCAAGTAGTAAACAGAGGAGACCCTCTAACACTGAGAACTATTCTTGCATTTCACAGAAAATAGTGTGATACTCATAGGTATCAGTTTGCCCCTCTACAACTAAAACAGACGTGTGTTTATAAAACATTGCTGACAGATCTGACTCACAGCCATTTCTACAAACCTTCACTTTAGAGGTCACAGCCATGTTGAACTAAATCAACAGTTATACAACTTTCTTAATGCTCAATATTGAAATTCCTTGCTCCAGCTCATAGACATGGCTTCTTGTGCTACTATCAATGGCTGTGAAATACATATTCCATTTTTTTGTTGTTGTACCAAGAGCCTTTAAAATTCAGTATATTCATCCTAGAGTTACAAACTCTCATGTGATGTTCTCCATTTCTACTGAGAAATGTGGGCAGTCCTGCAGAAATTTAATCTGCGTAACTTCACATTCTGATACAAACTGATGTGTATGAGGAACAGCTGAGCTTCCTGATTTGCTTAGCCCAGAGCAGAGGAGCTGAGAGGAGGCCTGACAGCGGCTGCAGCTCCTCACAGGGAGCAGAGGAGCAGCGTTGATCTCTGCTCTGTGTGATAGCAACAGAGCGGAGGGCATGGAACAGCCTGCCCAGGGCTGCGGGCACAGCACCAAGCCTGACAAAGATCAGGAAGCATTTGGACAATGCTCTCAGACACAAGATTTGAATTTCAGGTGGTGCTGCGTGTAGGCCAGGACTCAATGCTCCTGTGTGGGTACCTTCCAACTTCAGATATTCCGTGATTTTATGGTTTTATAATGCTTTCTGTGCAGATAGTAGAAGCAAACCCTTAGAAAGTCTATGAGAGAGCAAGAAAGTTTCCTTTTTCATATTTATTCCTCATAGAGGAAATGTTTGAAGCAGCTGGTTCTATAAAGACTCCTATTTGCATGTATGCAAAACAGGTGGAAAAGGTCCACTGTCTCACTGGAAGCATTTGTGAAAATGAAAGCATATCAAATGTAGAGTTGGTCAATGCGACATCTTTCAGAGCCTCTGAAGCCATACGACTTCTGTGCAACAAGCACTGAACTTCAGGTAGAAAGTGGAAAAAAAAAAGTCTTTCCATATGTATCTTGTCTGCTCCAAACAGTCTGAGCAGCTTAGTTTAGGGATTCTTCCCTGTCATCTTGAAAAGGATAAAAGTGTATACAAATACATGCAATAGCCAAAAACATTTGAGTCTTTCTTTTCCTGGGCTTCATTGGCCAACCTTATCTTGCCAGAAATTGCTTACTTATCAATTGAAAAAAATAAACAAATAAAAAAAGAAATCTACAATTCAGAACTGGTAACATTAAAAAGCAATCTCAAATCCATCTGTTAATATTTAAAATTAACTTACTGTAAAACGTCAGTGGAATCTCTTTGAAGGTACTGTCACGAACAAACTACAAATACAGAAAAGTAAGTTTAAAAGAGCACTTGCATTTCCATTTTCTAAAGATTGTACACAGAAATCGCTGGTTAACTGATCAAAAAGTCAGGCTACTCTATTTGACTATGTCCTCTCATTCATGACTGAAAGTGAATATAGCCTCAAGAGAATAAGACAGATCTCTATTTTTCTCCATAGGCTTTGAGGCTGATGAGTTGAACGAGTTACCTGCTTGGTATTTCTCTCAAAGACAGGTTGCCTTAAGGACTTGGAATTTACCTATGCTGATGTAGTGATAAAGTGTACCTGAAGCAAACAGTAGATTTGGGCCAGTTCACACTGGAGTTGCCTATGTACAAATATTCTGCAATTACTTGGTGATGAAAAACATAACTTCTAACTGTTGCATGCAATGTATCATTCAAGATTACACTTGGGAGACTGGGAGCAACTATTACGTGTTGCATTCCAAAGAAGCAGAGCCAAAGAACCATTTCTGAGTGATAATGCAAGTGATTTTGCAGATCCTGCCAAAAGGACAATGGGGGCAGACATTATTATAAGAATACCTTGATTTGAATATACTTGATCAGCTTCTTCAGGATTGTGAGCAACTGATCATTTCCGACAGGCAGATCTGAAAAGAAGAAATAGGCATGTAAGAGGACACATGTGCACATGTTTTATTTCCATTTGGAGTAGTAAGGATATGTAAGGATTTTCATTAATTCATAAAAGCATGTATGTGTACATACACATTCTTCTGTATTGAGAGAGGGATAACACAAGACATCTTATCTTCCATATACTAGACTTTCGTAACAGTTCAAAGAGCTGCCATGGTTTCAGACAACACATAGAATAAACAGTGATGTACACTTTTTGTTTTGTATTCCACATAGAAATTGTCTTTTTAAAGGAAGTAACTTTTTACAGTTACTGCACATAAGATACAGATTCAGAAATGCATGTAAATTCCATGAACTAATACTCACCTGCTGGATATAGGAGTTTATCAATAACATGAATTACACCATTGGTTGCCATGAGATCAGGTTCTCTTGACTTCAGTTCATTAACCAGAAGAGTATCATTCACCTGGTAAAGAACGGAAGTTATCAATGATATTAAAAAATGAAACCCTTAATGCTACATTCTGAGAAATATCACACAAAATATCAAAATATAGACATTGAATGTCAAATCTCCATTACAAGATTGTATTAGAAAGAGTCCTTTTTCATGACTTAACTGTTTTCAAGTACAGTTTTCCTCCTTGGATAGTTTTAAGGATGTTTGTCACACCAGGCTCAAAACCACTTCCAATGAAAACTCCTTGTGTCAGGTGGTAAAGGAGAATGTTCCTGAGAGCATTTTTGTCTCCTATTTAAATTGAAAAATAAGAAATACAAGTAAGAGATTTTCTAATTATGCTCCACAAAAACATTAAATTCAGAAACACTAAGCAGTCTACAGTATCAAGTATCGTCAAGATACAAGATAAACTGCTACTTTAACATCCTTGCAATTAAAGGGAACTATAGCTGACAGTGTTGGCACTGAAATAAATGCAAATATTCTCTTAAGCAACACCCTTCTGGGATGAATGGGGATAACTCATAGCTCACTATACACACATTTTCTATCTTGGGCAGGACAAAGTTGCAGGCAGACTAGAAGAATGTCATGTGGAGTATGATCCTTTGCTGGTCTTACATACTGTGAGAGGGAGAGAAGTTGAGAAAAGCAACCCCATTCTGGGAGTGATTTCCTTATTTCATAGGTTTCATTTCTATTTGGGAAGAAAAGAAAAAAAAAAGCCAACATTTCCAAGACTAGCAAAGGAAATGGATTCTGGAGTCCAAGGTAGTATCATGACAGCCCTCTGGAGCTCCACATCTACGGAAACAAAGGATGAGCTGTAGGAATATCCACAGGACCAAGCAGGACAGATTTAAAACATAATATTACATGGAATATTGTCTAATATTGATTATTCTTCCTAAAAGTTTTAGCTTCATTGAAACTGTGAGATTATAACTTTTCCTAGTTTCTTTTTCAGTGAGCATTTCCCTTTCTCTGCTTTTGCTGATTGCTGATACCACTGCAATTCACTTTACTGCTGAAGTTCAATTAAATGCTTCTTTTCTATCTTCTAAAATCAGTGCCAAATTTATGTGACTGAATCTTCAATAGATAGAATAAAATTATATACAAAGCGTAAGCATGGCCATTTGAAAGCTTGTTTCACTAGATTTCTTTTGCTCTTTGACACAATGGTCATTGAATAAAAATAATCTTTGTTCTGTATCTTTCTTACAGATAAATATTTTTATATTCCTTTTAAAAAAAAATTATTTTAAAGTTTAAATTTTACATAAAAAATAACATTGTATCTTTAAAAAAAAGACAAGATGAAGTTCCAGAAATCAATCTGACTCTAAAAAATGGACTTTAAGCTGTAAAAACAATAGGGTAAAACTAAAATTTTAACTACAAATGATATTAAGTATAAACTACATCACAATGGTAGGAAAAGCCAGTACATAAAAGTCCTTGAAAAGCAGAATGGACACATGGTTTTCTGGATTGTCAAAATGATTCAAAAGAATGTAGGCCTGGGCTGCAACATGAAGTAGTTAGCTGTGACAAAATAGGCCTCCATTTCTTTTGTTTCTTTTGCAAGCATACCCAGTCTTAAAAATAGAACCATAGTGTTCATCTAGTTGGTTAAGTTCACAGCACTGAGACAAGCTTCTTTTGATTTTATGGCTCTTTAATGACATTCATTTAGGTTATCTGTTAGTTTATTGTTACTAAACACACACTACACCAGAAGGTAATTTATACCAGAGTCATAATTTTAAATTACTAAGAGGGAATTAAAATTTACAATGCCTCATTAGTGAGTTAATGGCTGCACAGAGCTGGGTTATACTGGGGCAGTTACTTATCAGTGCTCTAAGCTGGACTCTCAGATGTTATTAAGGATTCATGGGATTTTTTTTCAAGTCTTTGAACCTTGATTTGAAAAGTACAGGAGCAGAAAATGTGGCTGCTCTTCTGGATGTTGAATTCAGGGCAACTGCTATTCCCGCACTAGTACAGCAAGCCAAATTCATATTCCCTCAAATAAAGTAAAAAGATAATATGTCAACAAATGAGGATAATTTTTAGTTAATGTTGAATGTTTTTTCCCTAAAAGATATTTTCTCCATCACTGAAGAAAGAATTAATTTAGAGAAGTCCCGTGGCTTGTTTATGCAAAAGGTTATCTGCTTTATCAGACATTTAGGAAATCAGACATCTAGGAAATACACTAGCCATTTTTCCCATTAATTTTTCCATAATTGCTTATACTTGCAGTTTTCTTCTGTTACTTACTTATCAATACAGCCTTATCATCATCGGTCAAACCTTTGAAGGCATCATTAGTTGGAACAAACAGAGTCCATGCTCCAGGCCGTGACAGAACATCATCTAAATCTGCAGCTTTCACCAGACTGAGGAAAACACTGTTTAAAGCAAACAAACAAACCACAAATACGTTACAACTATACTTAGGTCTGGGCACTTAGTTCCTTCATTTCTTCTGAGAGACCATCAATTTTCAAACAATCCCACTATTTCCCAGGAATAAAGACAGTGGTGGACAAAAAAAATAAAATAAAATAAAATAAAATAAAAAAAAAAAAAAAAAAAGGGTGTCTTAAGAGTAGCAGACTGAGAAGAAAAAAAAGAAAAAAAAGGCTTTGAAAAGTAAAAATATTGTCAGTATGGATCAGAGCAGAGCTGAGGGAATAAAAAAATCTGCAGATCAAAGACATGAAGGGAGGATTAGAATTGCTCTCTGAAGGCAGTTCCTCTCTGGAGGATCAGGATATCTGAAGACAGGGGACAGGAAATATAGACTGGTGATGTATGAGTCTCTAATCATTCTGCTCCAATATGGAATAGTATCATTGGGTAACTAAACCTTCACACTCTGCTACATTTATAGCTCTCAATGTGTCATCCAGTCCCTTTTACCCTCTTCCCTCTTGCTCCTCTCTTGCCTATTTTGCAGTAAAGAACTGTTTTTAAGGAGTTAATTACCTCTTTCCTGCCATCTTTGCACCCCAAATATTCAGTAACCCCTGGTTCACAATTATTTCTCAGTCCAGCTGTGCTACATTCTGTACCCAAACCTCAGCGCTGTCAAGATGCTACTCACCTAAAACGCTTATCATTTCTCAGCATTTCATGCAAAGATTTTTCTGCTGGCTTGATGATTTGTCTGAAGACGTGAATAAAGCCATTCCTTCCTTCTTTACTTCCTCTGACCATGCATGAATTTTCAACACATACAGCCTGATTAATAGAAAAATGATAGTTTCAAAGGTACCTACTCATAGAGCATTTATATATTAAATTAAAACATTTAAACATATTTAATAAATACAAAGTTTGTGTATTTCCCGACTGGCTGCTAAGATTAAAATTAGTTTTCACCTGGATTTTCAAATATCATACTGTATTGTCTTGCCAGGAAATCTGAGAAAGCAAAAGTAATGAAATCTGGAGTAAGTTAGCAGAGTGGAAATGTTTCCAAACTTAATTTTTTTTTGTTTCCTTTGAGGATTTTGTTACTTAGTTATAAAAATTAGTTTTATAAATTTATAACTGAATGCCAGATCCTGAATTTTGTTTCATTTTTCCAAAAGAGTAGTTTATGCAAAATTCCCACGAAGACTGAATTCTCATTTTTTTTCCTAGTTTGAAAGCTTGATTTTTTATTTCTTCATTGTGGTAATTGTAGATATTGTCATTTTCATTCAGCTTTTTTTTTTTTTTTTTCTTTCATACGTTTTCCTTTTCGTAGTCAGGATGCATATTGCTAGAAAGTCCCATTCACTTACTGTGCGATACACAAAGACTCTTAGCAGCTTTCCGCCAATTGTCTCCAGCTCTTGTCCGTTGTACAGTTCATTGAGCCCAATTTTCACTTTTATAATGTGATTCTGCAGGATTGTTTTAAGAAGCCGTTGATCCATCTGTAAAGTGTCATCTACAATACCAATTAAGTAATAAATTATTTAAGTAGTGAACTTCCATCCAAGCAAGTTTGACTGTGGATATCTGCATCATCACCATGGAAATACTGAATCTTTACTTGAAATGCTTATAATATAAGACTTGGAAAGGTATGGGTAAATAGAAAAGAATTCTTAAACATTTTCTTTAAATTATCCTTTCTCAAATTTAGAAATAACATTTTGACACAGTTATGATTAACTACTGTAAACAAAATGGCTGATGATTTTTGTGTGCCAGCTGAGTGAACTTATCCCAAATTTTGCTTTCTGAATGTGCACCTGAAATCCTTCCCAGATTTCTCTGAAGGAAGAGATAGGATGCTCATGTGGTCATTCCTGTAAACATGTAGACATGTTTTAAAGCACTTTTCTATCAGTTTCTCTGTGCTTTAATGGACTATAAAATACCAACCTCCTTTTATAAATTTCATGAGTATAAATAACTAATCTAATGTAAGAAATGCACAAGTTGAGTGTAATGTGCAAGTTCATTAATATCATTGCTTTCACATTATATATCTATGCATGTTTTGTGTCTTAGAGATAATATTTCCATTAACAAATGCTACCACTGAAAATGCTGTGCAGCCTAATGGTTACATTTATTTTGTCTTTACGTATGGCGTTCATTCTGGAAGGCTAAAGTATCTCTAATTCTTAATTACTATCTTTCTTTGGGATATAGAACAAGTACTGGCAATTATTTGGAAGACTGTCAGAATATCAAACATTCTTCCTGCTTATTTCAATGTTCAGATACTGTTTGAAGGCTACCAACCTGAGAAAGCACGATTCTGTGGTACCAGAAGAGTGTATTGGCCTTCTGGTCTTAAAGAAGATGCTAGTCCTAGTTGTGTTACCAAGTCTGTAAAAGTAGTCTGCTGGGAACCTCCAAGCTCAATAACTTGTTTGGCTGCAAATAAAGGAGAAAGAAAAGACATATAAAAACATTCTTTTTTTTTTTTTTTTTTTTTTTTTTCCCTTAATTGCATTTTTCATGCTTTCATAACCTTATCAACAACAACACATGAGAAGGAATCTAGGTGGGATGAGAGGAAATGTCTTCAATTTAATAAGCTTGTCATTTACATTACTAACCAGAATCAGGAATTAGCACTCTATCAATGAGGTGGATAACACCATTGCTCGTCACAATATCTTTGCGTTTCACCATCTTTACTCCATTCACAGTAAGAGTTTCACCATCACAGCCAACTTCAAGTGTGTTTCCTTCCAAGGTCTCATAGACAGCTCCACCCATGATCGCTTCAGAGCACTGAAGGGTATTTAAAATATGGAACTTCACAAGAGCTGCATGGAAAAGAAAAAAACTTAGTAAACAGATGTTTGGATATATAGATTCATATACCATAGAATGGCTTAGGTTGGAGGGAACCTTAAAGACCATCCTGTTCCAGCCCCTGTCATGGGCAGGATTGCCAGCCATCAGATCAGGCTGCCCAGGGCCCCGTTCAAACTGGCCTCAAGGGAACACCTCAAGGGAAGGGGCATCCACATTTCTCAGCAGCCTGTGCCAGCACCTCACAGCCCTCTGAATAATTGTTTTCCCTAACATCTAACCTAAATTTCCCATCTTTCAGTTGAAAGCCATTTCCCCTGGTTCTATCCCTATACAACCATGTAAAAAGCCAGTCCCCTCCTGCTTTTAGGCTCCCTTCACGTACTGGAAGGCTGCAGTGGGGTCTCCCTTGAGCCTTCTTTTCTCCAACCCAAACAAGCCCAAAACCCTCAACCTTTCTTAATAGAAGGTGCTCCAGCAATTTGATCTTTTTTGTGGCCCTCCTCTGGACCCACTCCAACAGCTACACATCCCTCCTGTACTGAGGGCCCAAGGCCTGGAAGCAGAACTCCAAATGGGACCTCACAAGAGCAGAATAGAGTGGTTACCTCTTTTATGATGCAGCCCAGGATACTGTAGGCTTTCTGGGCTACAAGAGCATGCTGTTGGCTCTTGTCCAGCTTTTCATTCACCAGGATCCCCAAGTCCTTCTCTGCAAGGTTACTCTCAAGGAGTCTGTACCTATATCTGTGATTGCCTCAACCCAAGTATAATAGTTTGCACGTGGCCTTGCTGAACTTCATTCTGTTCACATGGGCCCACTTTTCAAGCCTGTCTTGGTCCCTCTGGATGGCATCCCTTTCTTCTATTGTATCAGCTGCACCACTCACCCTCATGACATCTTCAAACTCTACCCCATTGTCTACGTCATTGATAAAGATGTTGAAGAGCACCAGTCCCAAGACAGATTCCTGGGGGACACCACTCATCACCAGTCTCCACATGGATGTAGAGTTATTGACCATAACTCTTTATCTGCAACCATCCAACCAAATTTTTATCCACCGAATTGCCCACTGTTCATATCTCTTCAATTTAGAGGAAAGGATGTAGTAAGGTACCGTGTCAAAGGCCTTGCACAAGTCCAAGTAGACGACATCAGTTGCAGCCTTTGTCCACCAATGTCATCACTACATCCTAGAAGGCCATCAGATTTTTAAGGTGCACTAATTGCCATAAACCAAGTATTTATCTTCTGCAAGAAAAGCTTACATACCTTCAGAAGCCACCTTGTCACCCATGATTCTTTCTAAGACTCCTCTTGGAAGACGCTCGAAAGCTTCATTAGTAGGAGCAAAGAGTGTGTAATAACCAGGCCTTCCAAGAGTATCTAAGACATCTGATGTGATGGCAGCAGCCTGAAAAATAAAATTCGTTATTAATGCTGGTTATTTAAAGCATTTCCCAAATAGCTTAGCCATCTAGTCACAGGAAAACTGAATATTAACTAAAAGCTAAGATATTTTAACCCCTAGATTCTGAAGTAAAGTCTTATTCTTCGAATGTTGAATTTACACTGAAAGCTGGAGTTGCTCATGAAAGTTCACGGACAGCATTTAGCACAAAATATCTCCTGTGCATTCACCTAGTGACTAGGGGTCTTTAACATGAGACTGTGCTCTGTGTCACAGAAATATGTGTTAAAAGTGAAATGACAAAAATGGAATACAAAATTAATGACGTGGGTAAAATATGCCTTGGTATGAAAAGTTACTTCCTTAATTTAGCACATAGTGAGTCATTTCATTTGATTTTGTGTTTGCCTTTTACAATTTAACCCTTCATACCTGCAGGCAAAATACAAAGAAAGAAGAAACTACGAGACCAGAATGTTTCTAGTTTCGCACACTTACTCTGAGAGATGAAAGATCATCCTCAACTTCAATGAAATCTTGAATGGTATTTCCAACAGCAGTTAGGACACGGTCAATTACATGAACAACACCATTGGTAGCAATCTGGTTGCCATGGATGATCCTGGCACAGTTAACAGTAACAACCTATGTACGAGGAATCAAGTAGTAAAAAATGAATGCTTTTTCATGTGATCATATGCCCGGAATCTGAATTTTGTGGAATAGCAGTCAATGTACTCTGAAAAATGTTTGTCCTTTCAGTCTTTCTAAAACATTAGTAAAACCATGCAAGATTTAAAAGGCTGACTCAACTCTTTTGGAAAGCATTCAGCTACCAGTTGACTAATGCAGGCTACATTGATTTCCTATTCATGTTTTATTTGCCATTACGGTCCTTATTTCTTTTATTTGCTTACCATATCTGTTTATTACAGTGATTTTATATATATTTTTTTTTTAATTGATGTAAACCGTTGTCCAACATTAATATTTTCATGCATTTGAGGCAGGGACGAGTGACATGACTGGGAGATTTCAGCATTTATGAAAAGAAAATTATTTCTAGAAAGTAATGGATGTCTGCACACTGCAACATTAAGTATTTCTACCATGCCCCCAGTTCAAACAAAAAATCTGATCTAATTAAAAGACGTGATTTAATAGTATTTTGTAAGTACATGAAGATTAATAACAGGTTTTTGCTCTTTGATTTATTATGATGTCTAGGCTGGATGTGGCTCTGGGTGGCCTGGTCTGGTGGTTGGTAACCCTGCACGTAGCTGGGCAGTTGAAACAGGATGATCATTGTGGTCCTTTTCAACCCAAGCCCATTCTGTGATTCTATGATGCTATATTTCGGCCACAAAAGGCTTGATTTTTAGCAGGAAGTTCATTCTCATTAGAACCTTGACATTTAAACAGCAAACTACATATTCATTAATTCTTGGTGATCAGCTGGGCAAAGAAAACTAAATTTGTTCAAGAATTATTTATTTTTTTTTAATCAGTGTCAATTGAATTGCAAGCTACTAATCTTTCCATTATTTCATTCTACAGCAAAGCAAACTGATAGAATTTAGTTCCTCACGTAGTTCCTTCATTTATTCTGAGACCATCAATTTTCAAACAATCCCACTATTCAAAGCAAATTGATAGAAGAAATATCAGTGGTTAAAATTACATTATTATATTAAGAAAGTCTTATCTATAGACTTACCCCATTAGGATAATGGTTGATAAGCAATTTCTGGTCATTATACATGGACACCAGTGTCATGCCATTCTTAAGATCTTTTGTCAGCATGCGCTTGTTTACCATGTGGTGGTGGAGAGCATTGTATAGTTCGATATTTACATTGTCAATTAAATTCCTGTGAATTTCCTGGAGAAGAACGGAAATTAATTAATTTGAAAAGTCAGGAGCATTCTTCAGTTAGAAAGATGTACATATTGCTTTACCTTTACATATACTATGAGAACAATGGACAGATACTTCCAGTTAGTAAATACTGGATTTCCATACTTAGTTATCTGGCTTTGTTCAGATGCTGGTTTAGACTAATTTGATTACAAATTGAAGACAAGAAATCTCATCAGAGGCAAATCACTGAAGGTACTTTAGTTCAACATTTATTTTAACTAAAAGCATTACTAAAAGGAGGACATGTGAGTCACTTACAAAACATGACTGTACTCTACATTATGCAATTGATGGAATTCCTGTTGGTTGCCCTAAAATTATATGAAGGCTAGCAATATTAAAATTTGACATGCAAGTGCTTAAGTAAGAAACATTGCCACTTAGCATTCCTAGAAAATAAATTCAGATTGTCTAGCTTCAGTAATGTATGATAAGCAGGTGCATTCTTATAACGTGTCTTATAATCTTCATATATAATCATAATATATTATATATATCTTATAATTTTATAATAATAATAATAACTTGTCTAATGTCTGCTTATGCCTAAGATCTTATTACTGTTTGCCATCTAGGTTATAAATAAGCTAGTTATTGTTAGTTCATTAACTAAAATATTACCTGAAAGAGAAATACGTACATACATAAAAACACAGAAATGCTTACCGAACTTAATTGCTCCCAGGCTTCATTACTTGGTGCAAAGAAAGTGAATGAACCTCTTCCCTCAATCTCTTCTCTCAGCTTTGACATGTCAGAATACTGCTGAGTGGAGGTAGCTCCCACAATACCAAGAGTTCCATATACATGATCAATAGGAGCAACTAAAATCAACATCAGACAAAAATACTGTAAATACTTCAGCCAGTTTCTCACAACTAAGTCCAATTTATTTCTTTTGTTTGGACAAGTGTATTGCCTTTATGAAACTGTTTAAATCAATATGAAAACAACATGCTTGAATTAAAATGCCACTATCAATGTATTCTGAATTCATCCAAACACATCTGCTTGGTATTTATTTTACGGTTTGTCTAATGAGCTGAAAAAAGTAGATCAAACAAAACCAGATATTATAATGTTTTCTTTATAAAAGACGTCTTGTTTTGTTCCAAGCCTCATATGGAATGGGAACCTATCCATTTGGGATGTTTGAGAGAGGATATGAGTCAATTTTATCTACAATCTCAAAAACTGCTGAAGCGGGTCACATTTGGGCACCATCAGCCAGATTTATTCCTGTGAGGCCTCTTCCAGTGGTTGGCATGTGTAGAGATTGATTCAGAGAGCAACAATGACCATAATCTCACAATCAAAACTCTGCTATATGAGAATAGGATGCAGATCTCCTAATTCTAGGAGTCCACAATTCAGGTACTGACACATGAGCTAGCTGCCCCAAGTTACTTTTACAGCTGTTGAGAAGACAGGATCTTTTGGAGTATGCCCGATCTCATTCTAATGTAAACATCTAAAGTGAAATGAATACACCGAAACAAGATGAACTCTGCCTTAAGATATGCTTAACAGAATGTAAAAGATGAGCTCAAATAGAGGGTTATAAATTGATGAAATATATGCCATCTCAAATTATCCTTTCTTGTTGCAATTAGGTTTATGCAAAACAGAATAGCAAAAATAGGAGAAATTAATAGTCTCTGCCTTCATTTTCACTGTTCAGTTTATCTAAAGCCTCTTAGTCAGCAAGATTCAAGTCTTCTCATGAAAATGAGTAAACAGAACTTTGATATACCACATTTCATGCCCTAGGTTTCTGATCTCTGGTGTGCTATTGGTTACTCTGGAGTGCGAGGGGAACAGAAATAGAGGTTCTCCTTCAGCTGTTTTGGAAATAGAGAACTCTATCACTTCTCTCCTATCTAGGAGCTGTAAGCAGTTGGGGAATTTAACTTGAACCGCAGGATCAAATTCAATGCAGGCTGATTTTCAACTGTACTGACAATGTATGAAAGAAACTTTGCAGTTTCAGTAATTTGTACAGTTGCAGTAATTTGTAAAAAGGCAATGTTTCCTCAAGCTGGCAACCTTTGAAAGTCTCGCTTTTTGTAGTGCTTCTCATATACTGACTCATCCATATGAAAATAAACTAGTACCTGCAGGACATCCTCTCATACCATCCATCTTCATATAGCCAGGACAGCACTCATACAAGACAGTTCTGTAGAACATACGAAAAACAGTTGTATACCAACTTTAGTTTGCAGCCCCATTTCTTTCATTATTTATTTTACATTGCGAAGTACACTTTCTCCTAATCTTTTTGCTCTTTTTATCATTCAACCTGTTCTGTATATATTACAAATTGATTGTTGTTTTACTAAATGTAGTCATTACGCTTAACCGATTGAAAAACAAACAAACATAAAAGAGGTTGCAGAGTTATGAACAGAAGAAAATTAATTTGATGAGTATATTTTGAAAAGATTAGGTGGGACTGAGGGAAGGCAAAAATGAACACAGTGGAGATAGTGAGAGGAACTGTTACCACTAGTGTCCAAAGGGAAAAAAAATTAAACAATGTAAATTTAAATGACAAAACTACTTGAGGAAACCTACAGCCTGGATGTAGAAATTTAATGGATACTTTGGAGAAGGTCTTGGGGATTGTATGGTGAAATAAAATGGGAGCAGAGCCTCAGTGTACCAAGAAGACTTTGAAGAAGCTCAGGAATGAGGGACATAATTAAGTACAGATATAAAGCAGGTCATAGAAAACAGAGTCACTAAAGACAGGATAGTTGGACATGAAGTTCCTTGGTAAATATAGCAAGGATGAAAACCAGATTGCAACAAGTCAAGCACAGAGTTAAAAGAGTATGTCATCAAAGCATATGTACAATTTAATAATAGAGCAGACCAGGAACTGTTAAATAAAGATGTCAGTAAAATACTCCCTTTCTTGAACATGCATTATCTATATGTAGCAGCAAACCAGGGTTAATTGGTAATTCAGTAGCATAACATTCAACTTTGTACTGAATGCCTAATGGAATATAATGCCCTTTTAATTAATATGACAGAAACAAAAGATCTACCATAGACTTTCTTGACAAATTCTCTTCTGAGTTAGTGCGAGCTTGCAAAAAAAAAAAAAAAAAACCCACAGGGTTGTGTGTTGTTTCTGGCCCTTCCATACAAGGAATGTCAATAAATTGTATAATCTTATCAAGATCTAAAGAGTGTTTTAAATTTGCAGACTTCAGATTTTTTTTTTTTTTTCAAATTATGATCTGCTCTGGATGGCAATGAAGATCTTACTAATAGTATTATTTTTATACGTGTGGCTGATCTCAGCAGCTAAAGAGTTCTGAACAGGATTTCCTTGAAGATTTTTGCTGAGTCTTTAGCACAGTATTCCAGCTTTTAAACTGTAGATTCTTCAGTGGCAGGCTTCTCTCATTTTTCACAAGCTAGAGCTGGCAAACACTGATTGCAAACATATTAAACTGTACAAGTTACTCAAATGGGAAGTTGTACTCAAAAGCATCACTATCAATCTACTTAAAGAGATTTTTAAAAAAGGAACGCAGACCGAAAGAGCAATAGTGTTACAAACCATGATTTATAAAGGTAGGATTGGAATTCCATGATTTACAACAGTCTGATACAGATGTTCAATATTTAAGATTTTTTAAAAAAAAACAAACAAAAAAAACCCCACACAACACTTCATATCTCAGTGCTAGGGAAATATGTGATTCCAGTCTGTCATATACAGATACACACATAACCTTTTCACCTTTCTGGCATGTGCCTCTTTTCTGCAAATGAGCCATATAAGCAAAATTTTGTACAGTTCTTTTTCATGTATTTCCTTCTGTGAGGCAATTTGCTGAATGGCTATTTCCTCGAAATGCAAGATGAACAGAGAGTTTAGGCTACAGATTTTCTAACTGATAAGGAAATTAAACTTATAACCTTTCACCTTCCTACCAGTTGTACCCTTGCCAGTAGGTAATAAAACAAGACATCTGACATGTGCAACAAAAGTCAGAATATTAGCCCATATGTGTGAACTGCTTCATCATGAGTAGTTCTTTATTTCCACAGGAAAAAAAAATATGTATGTATCTCCCTCACCCTTTGAGCAAATATATGAGGCTGCAATCTTAATTAGCTTTTGGAGAAAGGAAAAAAAGTTGAGTTGTAAGAATAGCATAAGGCATGGCAAGTTCAATGTTCTTACCATAACCAACAGTGACACAATTAATGAAAAGCAGAAAACTGAATGAAAAACTTAGTTAAGAAAGTTGTTTCTTCAGTCAAGCATTACAAGATCACTGCCTCTTTTACCATGTAATTTGTTATGAAAAAAAGCACTTTTGCCAATCACTGAGAGTTACTCCAAGTTTTTGTTTTTGTTTGTTTTTTTTTTTAATATTAATATGCCCTTATGGTTGACCACAATTGGAAGGTCCATGTATCAATTGTGCTCAAAATGTAATGAGAAGGATGGAATGAGAGAAAAGTGGTCCATAAAGAGGATCCAAAAATAACACTAGAATGCTATAAAACCTGATGCAAGATGCTATTTTTCAATACCACTCACTTACAGACACATGGAACGTTCCAACTCACACAGTAAAGTCATCCCCAGCTGTATGACCCTGCTAGCTAGTGTCTAAGAGAAGAAAGTTGAGTTTGGGAATTTTTTTTGCATGTATCTTTTAGTACTGAGGCAATATATTCCCAAGGAAAAGAGAACTGATCTGGACTACCATATATTCTTGTTATTCTTCGTTAACAGAGAGGTATGCGACTTATTCAGATCAGCTCTGTGACTCATCTGTTTCTACTCTTTGCTGGCATGGAGATAAAATATTGTATAAAAACAGTGGAACACATTTGGACCAAAAGACTTTGATTTTAGCAGATCTTTAGTTTGTATCCCAACTGAAAATTTACAGGAGTGTGTAGGAAATGTAAACATAAGAAACTTCCTTAAATTAACGTTTTATAGAAACTATATGCAAGTTATGAAGGACTTATTAACACAGAGATATTAACATGAGAAGAGCCATGTCCTTTGGATTAACATTCCTGCTAAAATAACCTTTTTAGTAATGGATTCACACCATATTTCACACATTCATATTGTGTGAGTACAGAGAATATAACTCCCAATAAGAGCTAAGATTAAGTTTTAACAGATGCTCAGTTACAACCACAAAAAAGTCCATGACTGTTCTTAATCTCATATACAATGTTTTCTCCTCTAGCCTTTCTGTGTAAGTGCCTGTACAATGGTAGGAGTGTTAAAAGAGAATGGAGATGTTTTTGTGCTTCTCAGTCAAAGTCTACCTGCTGCTGCTCAGTCTCTTCTACTGGTTGGCTGTAGTGGGTTTCCTGCTTAGGGCCTAACAAAGACTCTCTAAAATGTTCTTCAGCTTTGTCAGAAAAGGGAATAAATTCATGTATGATTTCATTGAGCCCAAACTGCCTACTGCTTCAAATTACTTTTCCTGACACATGAGAAGAAACACATTTCTCACTGAACAGCTCATTTTACTTCTGGAGCTTCACAAAGCAATGTGTTCCTTTTCAGATTTAAGCAGAAAGCAGAATTTTGCTCACAGGAACATGACAACTATCTAGGAATAAAACCACAGAAGTAATTTGTTTTCCAAAACTGACTTGAGAATATCCAAATTTCATTTTCAGGAAATATCCTTCTTCCTAATGTGTCTGTAGTGGAATAAAATGTAGTGCCAAAGAAGTTAGTGGTATGGCACATTTTTCTCAAAAGGTGAAATATTTTGGATAACTTGTCGGATGACCACAGAAGAAAGAAGGAAGTCTGTATTATAACGCCACCTGGAGGAGCAGGAAGGATTCTGATAAAGACTATAAACCTATGAATACTAAAAATCTGAAGGCAGAGATGGGGCAAATGATCACACACAATCTGGTTTGACTGGAAATCTATCACTATGATATCATCACCAATTGCCCAAACCTCCTCAATATTTAATATGAAAAAATGGCTTCTAACCTGTCTAGAATTACTTTTTAAAAAAAGAGTCAAAATAAAGGAGAGAGGGACTGAGTGAGATTCAAGACAGTAAGTTAAGTTCTGAACTTCTAGAGATCTGGGAAAATCAGACTGCTTGTCTGTCTGGAAAGTTAATTATACTTTGTGCTATTTCCACTCTACTACAATGCCATTACTTCCTTCCATCTTCTTAAAGAAGTAAGTAATTACTAATCCGATAAATTCTACAATAGCAGAAAGCTTAGGGTGACAACTTGGATCATGACAATAATATTTTATTGAGCTCTGATAGGGACAAAGTATCATTCCTCACGTCTAGACTGACTTTAGAATTCAGACTTCAAAGCCATGGCTGTACTTGAAAGGAAAGCCTGCGTGGTGGAATCTGTGCCTCACTGTATTGGATATTTAACTCTGTTCCATTAATTTATGGTATGCTGGCAGAGCAATGAAAACATTTTCTCAGGATGAAAATAGGAGAAAACTTCCTCCCACTACCTCTTTCTTCATCCTTTTCCCTAAGGGTCCTTTCCAACACTGTGTTATGACATATGATATCTTTTATGAATCTTAACAACACAAAGACTGTAACAGCCAAGAGAAGTAATGGAAACCACAATACAAGCCCTTTTCAGATCTTTGTCTGAATTCCGACTACAAATTCAAGAGTAATTTTAACAGTGCAAAAAATCATTAGTAGGGAAACAATATTAATGGGGAAACAAGAACAGTGATTTCCCGTGACAGCTGCTGAGAATGTTATCCAACTAATTGTGTATTAACAGGAGAAAATGTGGTACAACTAAAAAAAAAATACTAGTTCATTGTATTTGGTAAACATTGTTAAATTATTCAATTTTAAATACGACAATTGGGGCAGACCAATTTCTGGATTGGGGTTTTTGTATATATTCTTTCTCTGAAACCACTCGTGGCTGATACAGAGGTAGTGATTCTGATACTGTTGAAACTTTTTTCCCCTTACAGAAAAGGCAATGGCTTGTATTCTGGAAAAGAAGGACAACTGAAATACATACAGATTCCAAAAGATTGTGAAACTCATCCAGACTTGTTCTGTGCTCTTAATATTTTTTTTTTTTTCTTCTCTTTGTGAAAATATGGTCTGAGCACATAGCTGCTAGTTGTGCAGTTCTTTTCACAAATGCCCTCAGGCTCCTCTGTGTTCCTGAGTAGGTCACATAACCTTGTATTTAGAATATAACTTTGTGTTTAGAATATACCTACATAAACTTAACTGAGAAAAATATTCCTGAAACTTATGCCTGGAAACCCATACAACTTTAAAAGCATTACATACCATGCTATCATTTTCACACATTTTGGGATTATTTTTGGCAGCAATTACTGAATCCAGGTGGTTTTAATTAAAGGAAAGCTGTAACACTAAAACTATGACATTAATTCTTCCTGCTTCTGCATTTGAAGCAAATATTTAGTTTCACACTGAGGAGAGTTTTCTAATTGAATGCTATCCTATTTCAGTGGGTGTTTTGAACAGCAGATACTTACGCTTTCTTTCCACAAATGGATCCCTGGTACCAGTTTCTGCAGGTGCTGAAGTATTTCTTTTTGGTTCCCATAACTTGCTGAAGGGCACAGACATTTGGGCTATGGATGGAGTGAGAAACATTAAAAAAAAAAAGTCTTTACACATCTATAGGAGTGCTATATAACACAGCAGCATATACAGATTTTGTTAAGCAAGAATGAGAAGTGAACATCTGGCTTTAGCAGCCAGGGCAGGCGTGCATTCAAGTAACCACAATGCAAGTTCCCAAGACTACCCAGCTGGGTTCCTTGGCAAGTCCACCCTCCTGGTGGGGACAGATGATTCCCCTCCGCTCTGGTCTGACCCTCTGTCTCAATACGTCTTACGTTTCTTCCTTCCTCCAGGGAAGTGAATTAATTACCAGCCACCAGGGACTTAGCTGCTAATACCATCAGGCTTTTTTCATTAAAGCTTTTTTCTTGAACACATCTGTGCAGCGGAAGGTCACGGGGAGATGGGGAAGGGTAGTGACTGGCTCTTTATGTGGAAGGAAACCCTGTAAATCAATCAGCTGTTTTGATTACCATCCATTTGGAGGACCGCAGGCACCTAAGTAAACATTCTGGGAATTGCTGGGGACCAAAGGGTAAACTGGCACGTAAATAAAAGGCATTGCAGAATTCAAACAAGGAAAACTTTTTACTTAGCAAGGTAGCGTACAGAAGAGAAATTTTCTAAGAGCAAATTCCATGGAGCAAAGGCATTTTGTCACTAATTTCTGTAATTTCACAGTACAAAAGTTCATCAGTTCAAGAGTTAGAACATATGCTTTACAACAGTGGGAATGAGAGAGAGAGTGAGAGGGAAGAGAAGAGAGGGAGGGAGGGGGAGAGAGAATTCAATAAAGGAAGGCAGAAAGGATGGCAAACAATTCTTTTCACAGAACAGTTTTTACTAAAAAAGATTGAAGGGAGATACGATGTTGAGATACATCATTTCCCTGACACCAGCTGTTCAGATAAGTTCTGTCTCTCTGAACAGCCTGGCTTGTGAGTGTTGTCTCTGGGGTGCAAGTTGCCGCTACTCCAGTGGGAACAAAAGTTCTACAAAGAGCTCCCAGTGTCAGACAGTATTAAAGAATAGTTCATGATTTATTCATTAGGACAGAAAAAAAGCAAGCAAATGTTGTAGAATAAACGTCAGTTCTATCCAAACATTTGAAAATGTGTATTAAACATATCCCAAGCCCCATTATATTCATCATGAACTGTAATTAAGTTCAGTGATTCTAGAATGTATGCATTCTCTTCATCAAGAAGTGGGGATTTAATTTTTTCCAGGTTTCATGAAGTTTTACATTATTTAGTCTCCCTTTGAAACTCCCCAGAAAGCTTTGAATCTAGTTCTTATAAAACTAATTTAGAACAAAAGTAATTCTTGAATGATAGGAAACAGATTTAAAAAAAAAAAAAAAAAATCACATTTAAAAAAAAACAAAAAAAAAAAAAAAAAAAAGAAGGGTAACTGTTCAGAGATTCCCTTTTAAAATGCAAATAAAGCCCCTCATACTTACCCCTGGTCCCGTGCCCTTATTCGACTGTGAGTTAAAATCTTGTCATAGTGAGCATATGCAGCTGCATGTTCAAAAGCAGACAAGAAAAACGTGGAAAAAGTGAATAATAAAAAGATCTTCATCTTTAGTCCTCAGATGCTTCTGGCAAGTCTAGAAGAGAGAACTGGCAGAGGCTCTGGAGGGCTGACAATTTATATACATGTTGGAAGGTGGTGGGAGGGAACCAAGGAATCAACCTGAAACTTTGTACCACCCTCCTTTGAGTAGCAGCTTTGGCTGCCAATTTCAGTAACCTAAATTAATATCATACATTAACTGTATGAGCAGTTCTTTTTTTATCCCTGATTGACTAATTTCTTCCTCGTTACAGAAGGCTTAGCATTTTATTCTGCTGACAGAACAGCAGAAGTTTGGGAAGTTTAGACTTTGAGTTATGATTTGGTATTTATAGCACTAAAGCGTCCAGAGGTTGGGATCACTGTGTGGCTCTGTTCAAACCCAGATGAAGTTTATTCCTGCTGCTTTCTTCTGTTTTCCATGTCCTTGTAGTTATCAGCTCTGAATTGTTTAACTAGTGAAGTTGATGAAAGTTCCAATCAACAATCTGTTGTCAATACTCTTAACAAATGGCATTTATGCCCTCAGAAAAAAAAGGCTATGTTAACACACATACTGATTATGAAGCAGTTATACAATCAAACACACTATTTAAATATGTATTTTAATTCTAATAGTAACATTTATTATTGCAGAATGCTTTTAGTTGGAACATCACGTAGTCTCACAGAAACCAGAATAGCTGAAAATTTGAAGAAATGCTTACTTATACCCAATAGTTAATCATTGGGAGCCTCTAGTGAAACAGATGGAAAATGTAATGCTGAGCTGTAAATGAGGGAAATGAGGCAGAAAGATGAAATGCTGAAGACAGGCTGAAAAATCCAGAGAAGGGGCAGTCTCAAGGGACAGTCAGTGCTTGGACTGCAGTCCATGAGTTTACGATTTTGATGTCGAGAAAAAAACTGCAATTGTATAAAAGGGTTCACATGTGAATTCAGTTTCAAGGTACAGTTTGTCATTTTGGATCTGTATGAAAAATGTCAGTTTTAATAACAGAACCTTGCTGTAGATTATTCCTCCAAAACAGGGAAAATAATAATATGGATAACTGGAAATGGATGCAGTTTTGGACTGACATAGCTGAGGGAATCTCTCATTACAGAACACAGATAAATGGAACAAAGAGCAGAGGCTGGAGACACTGGCTATTTACTATGTACATAGGTAAATATTACAAGGCTAATACATAGACATTTAGTGATCTAGGATATCACCATGGCACTTCATGTCTTCTAAAGTTAAGAACAGGTACATTTGGTTAAATGGTAAAAAGACTTTTTACTACAGCAGCCTATATCATCCTGCCTATAAATGACTCAAGTTGCTGAAGGCAGTATCAGCTGTGTGTGAATTCACAGTCTTGCTGAATCACCGTCTTCAGATCAACTCACAGAGGTGACAGGTCAACACAGAATTACAAGTTGTAAGAGAATGTCACTGCTGTGCTACTTCTGTTCCTCTTAGAGCTCTTTATCTCTGGTCTGTGCGGCAAGAAATACTGTGAGAAATATCACCTCCTGGATGCCTAGCTCTGACATTTAGAGCTGGTAGTAGGTCTCACTAGATTACTCATTGCAGTTCTTGTTCTACAGGTGAAAAGTTAGAAGATGTTCTCTTAAAGTAATATGAGAAACTTTTGAAAGTCACAGCATTGTTCCTGTCACCCGTCTTCTCTTCCCAAAAACGTCTACCTCTTGAGTCTATCGCCTCTCAGCACAGCTCGTATATGTCTCTTCCACATTCATCCATGTAGCATCAAAAATGAATAGAAACTAATGCTACTGCATGCACTGAGAATCATAGCTATCTCTGAAAGTAATGTCTCCTATTTATTCCGATGGAAATTACAACAAGAGCACAATAACACTCTTTGATAGGACAAATTCTGAGCTACAAAATGTTATTTTTCATTAGTGGATTTGCAGGGATGAACTGATTTAAATGCTTTGCTTTTTGTAGTGTGACAACTGTGTATGGCCACCTGGAACGTGTCTTTTTTTTTCCAGTTTTTGTTTTTGTTTTTCCAGCTACCTCACATCCAGTGTTTGGTCTTCATAAATGCTCAACAAGCATTGATGTGTATCATTGGGTGCAATCTTTTCCACATGGAGGGATTAAATGACACACATTGCTTCTGACACTTCCATGACAGATACCATTCTATCAGAATGCCCCTCTGCTGCCATCTGTTGCATGGTAACAACATGGAACAGGATGTTTGTGGGAAGGTTTCACCTCTAATGCCATACCACCACCATAAACCACCACTGTGATGTTGTGAGCTGACATAATAAAATAGGAGGTGTTACTCTTGGAGAAGCCCTCATATGAAGCTATGTGTGATTAAAGAGAGAACAATATGAAGAGGACAAGTATTTCCAAAATATTCCAGCTTTCTGATTGGTGAACCAGTTTCATGTCACAGAGAACACCATTTATTAATGTAATTCTCTCTCTAAGGTTTAGAGTGAGTGCCCGTGTAGATAAGGCTTTAATTCTTAAATTGGTAGTTATTAATATTATCGTCTCTGTTACCACTTTTCTTTGATTCAGATAGGAACTGGGCATAATGGCAGCAGACAGTAAACCTAAAACCATTAATGTTTCTATTTCCACATAAGGAATGCATATTAATATTAAAAAAATATATATGCTGTTTTCAATTTTGATGCTGTTTTCAATTTTGAAGTATGTAAGAAACTCTGAGGGATTGCTACATGTCAAACCTAGTATCACACATGGTGGCAGAGGTGATAGGACAGCACAGAAAATGGTGAATAAGTGTGCAAATATTACCAGATTAAGGGGTAATCAGCATTAAGCCTTGCAGCAAACTTACTGACATCATTCTATTTAATGTAGCAGATATTAGCTAAAAAGGAGTTAATACAGACATGCAGTTCATGGAAATAAAATAGCATGAGGAGAAAAATAATAATAATTACCTATCTTAACTTACTGAAAAATCTGGATAACTTGTTGAGTGGCACAAAAAAATGCACAGTACCAGGAATGGAAAAATCTCATCTTCAGCTAGATATGAATATTTTGAAAATTCTCAAAGAAATGAAAGCTGCACAGTCTGATCAAATTTATGGAAAACAAAAAACATCAATATATATATATATTAAAAAAAAAAAAAAAAAAAAAAAATTCCAACCACCTGAATGCTATTCCGTATCTATGTTTATGTTAGTCCAGATTTAAAATCAGAAATGATGCCAGGCTCCTCTTTTTGCCTGTGAGATAACAGTTTGCTAGATAGAACACCAGAATAATTATTATCTAATTTGAAAGTTACTGGTGAGGCTTTTTTCAGTGGTGCATGGCAATAGGACAAGGGGAAACGGACACAAACTGAAGCATAGGAATTTCTGCTCAAATGTGTAAGAACTTCACAGTGAGGGTGACGGAACACTGGACAGGCTGCAGTGGAAAGTTGTGGAGTCTTCTTTTCAGGAGATGTTCAAGAAACCTGTGCAGCCTGCTGTAGGGGGCCTGCTTTGCAGGGGGTTGGACTTGGTGATCTCTAGAGGTCTCTTCCAAGCCCATACAATCACTGTCTGTGATTCTGTGATACTGTTCTGACTAACCAATTCCTTTTTTCACTTGTGATAATAACGTGTTGGGTTTTGTTTGTTTGTTTGTTTGTTTGTTTTTTGCTCTCTATTTAGAAAGATGGGTCCCACCAAGATTTCTCTTCCTTTAGCTGCATACATTGTGCAATCACAGATACAATCACAACATAAAATATTAAATCACAATATAGTACTTAACTAAGGAATATAATGCTGAACATCTGATTATAAAATGCTTTAAAACACCTAATGTATTCTAAGGGCTATTGAAATAATAGGACATTTTATTATCCACAGCAGAAATAAGGACAAATACATAGTAAGTATGGATTTTTATCTTCCACAAAATTTGAGCAGTATCAAGAAGAAAAGCGTAAAGTATCTGCTGATTTCTGAATATTGTTACTTGTATTTCTCTAGAGACCTCTAGTGGAGATAATTCTGTAATGGTCATATCCTCAAAACTGCTCTGAGCACTTATGACTTTTCAGGTGATGAAGATACTTATTTCACCATTCCTAAAGTTTCATTAAGCCACATGATATTTCCTTTTGAATATGTAGGGACTTGACAAAGCTTTACATTATTCTGAAGTAACTGGAACTTGTAGGTTTTAACCTATTGTAGATAATTCTATTGATGACTTGCAGAAATGTATCTAATAAGAATAGTAGGAAATGAAAAGTTTTTCTAATACTGTTTCCACAATTAAAACTTGAAGACACTCCAGATTATTTACAGTGCATGTTATAAGTATTTTGCTGCTGTATTTCATAGCCTTTTGTTGTGTTTATTTTGTGGTGCGTTCATGTGCACATTGGAAAAAAAAAGTGAGTTAAGTTTTAAAATAAGAAGAGAGGTATGCTGCATCCTGCAGTTGTTGTTTGCATTGTTTGATTGCCTTGGAAATTTTGACTCTCCAAATTTGGGAGTTTTGCCATTAACTTCACTTAGATCAGAAATTTACGTCTGGAGTAACCCGCAGTGTTACTTCTTAAAAATTGGTTTACTGTTTGGAATGTCATAAATATGCACTGTAAGAACCCCCAAAATCCATTGTCCTTAGGGACAAACTAATAGTTGACTGTAACAGGTATGTAAGACATTTTCTGGTGACACACCTTAGGAAGTAAAGAGTTTAGATGCACAAGAGTACAGAGCAAGTCACAGCTGGGGCACATGGCTTCACTGCATATCTGCTTTACGTGAGCATTAAGGGAGCTGTAGTCAGGGAAAAGCTATTTAACACCTGATGATTTACTGCAGCACCACTTAGAAATCCTGTCAAGTATAGCTTGAAATAAGCGTGTAAGTAGTCTTTCTTTAAGACTATGCAGCAGATAACCAAAAGCATAATCTGTTTAATTCAGGACGAATTTGTGCTTTCTGGAGATTAAGGTCAGATAATTAAAAAAGACTGTAAAAATGAGCAGAGCACAGTTAGCCTGGCTACCAAAACAAACTACCAAGAGA